ACTGCTGACAAAAGAATATGAAATTTAACCCTGGATGCCTTTGTATTTCAGCTTTAGAACAAGTCTAGCATGTGAAGATCTAGTTCTCCAAACATTAGTTTGGAATGAAAAATTGTATAGATCTACATCTCTTGAAGGTATCGCTTTCAGGTGGAATGAGAAACAAGCCCTAAAAGCATTCAGTTAATGACAACCTACTTCCTTGCATCTATAATATAACAAAGTAAAATACAGTCTTAATGCCTCACAAAAGCACTTCCAGCCCTTGTCTCTTAGAGGGGCTTCATTTACACACCTCTTCACACACAAGGATCTATTTGCATGGCTTATTTAGACCAGAAAGTTCAAATCAGGAACAGCATCACCCATCAACAAATTATTCAGATACATAAGATGAAGTGTCCCAAATGACAAAATAGTTGACTTACATCAAATAAGAAACCGAGTCTGTGTTATGGCTTCCTGTATTTTGATACCCCACACTGCCTCTATATAAACCATCTGTGCTACACACACTTCAAGCCATCTTTCAACTATCAACAGGGCTTCTGCAGTAAAACAAACAATTACTAATAGATGTATCTTAGAGACAGATTTTAAATCAAAAGGCACAGTGCTCCAGCATTCTGTTATTAACAAAAGATCAGAACAAATCAGTAGAGAGTTTTTTTTTCTGAACATCCGTTAGTAACAGAATACAGAGATGAAAGACAGAGGGGGGAGTAACATTTGCAATCACACTCACCCAGACAAGACAACACACACACACAGAGTGTGGATTGAAAAACCACCTCCAAGTGCTCATTCTAAAAGAATTTTTTTTTCCCCCTAACCAGAATCATACAAACCAAAGGAAAGAAGACAAAAAGCTATTGTCATTTGCACTAGCGAGTAAGTGTCATAAGGCATGGTGGAAACAAGTTAACAATGAAGCTGTAACCTGGACTGCTAATTGGGGAGTGCTAGAAGTTACACAGTTCCCCTAGGGCTTGGCACACGCACCCCTCAGCTATTGAAACAGGTTAAAAGTATCAGACTGGCCACAAAATAAACCTCATCAGTTTTATAAACCTGGAATTGTCCAAGGCCAGGCTGGATGGGGCTTTGAGCAACCTGCTCCAGTGGGAGGTGTCCCTGCCCATGGCAGAGGGTTGGAAATTGATGATCTTTGAGGTCCCTTCCAACCCAAACCTTTCTATGATTTACAAGAGGAGCTGCCAATTCACAAGATCTTCTGGACAATTTCTCACACGTAACTTCTGTCCAGAGGAAGACCAGAACATCAGTTAACACAAGTTCCTCATGCACAAAAAAACCAAACAAACCCAAAACACTTCTTAAGTGCGGATTACTTACAGGAAGAGTATTTCATAAGACAAGCTACAGATTAGTTGTGCATCCTGTGGTGAACCCACAATTATTGTAATGCAGGTTAATGAGAGTATTCACCAGGCGCAAGGAATGAGGAAGGGAGACCAACAACAAGAGGCAGAGGAGCTGGGGGGAGGACAGCAGGAGCTCCTTCTTGCTGTGCCAGACTCGCTGCCTGCTGCTGTATCTGCGGCTGTACCTGTGGCTGTACCTGCAGCTGTACCTGTGGCTGTAGCTGCAGCTGTACCTGCAGCTGTAGCTGTGGCTGTAGCTGCAGCTGTACCTGCTGCTGTACCTGTAGCTGTCCTGTGGCTGTACCTGCCACTGTACCTGCTGCTGTACCTGTAGCTGTCCTGTGGCTGTACCTGCAGCTGTACCTGCATCTCAAACACCTCTGGCCTCCGTTACAGCCCAGCATCCCCGCTCTTGGCCAAAGCAGGAATCAGAAGTGACAGCCAGCTCGCTCGCCTCGCTCTCTCTCGCTGTGATTCACAGCGCTGCTTTGTCATACCATAAGTAAACCTAGTTTTTAAAGTGGAAAATAACTGCAAACCAGAGATTATGAAATGCAGAGTGTTCCTGCGTGCTCGGGGACAGCACACTTCTCACGGAGGCAGCCTGCATGTGCACCAGACGCGCCAGCAGGATTCATGTGTGACATGAAGCGGCGGCGGGGCTGGTCCTGCCGGGTGTCCCCGCTCCCCACGGCGGGGAGCGTGGGGCCAGACCGCCCCTCGTTCTGCCCCCGGCACAGAGGGGCAAAGGCGGCCCTGTCACACCTCACTTCACCTCAGCCGCCCAAAGGAGCTGGCCAGAGCCCACCCCTGCCCCAAAGGCTGGGACAGACCCTGAGGAAACCCCAGAAAGGACACCCGCTCCCTCAGCCAAGCGGGCGCAAGGCCTCTCCGGGGCGCGGGGGTGAGCCCCGAACCCGCAGCCCCGTGGCGGGGGAGGGGGGGGCGGGAAGGAGCAGGAGCCGAACAACTCCCGGCTTGGCCGCAGGGGAAGCGGCACCGCCACAGCCCCGGGAGGAGGAACCCGCGCTGCCGGGCTCTCGGCTCCCTCACACACACGCCCCCCCCCCGCCGCCTCCCACCGGCACCACACCGGCTGCCCAGGCCCCGCACAGCCCCAGCTCCCGCCGGGATGAGTCGCAGGCCGCGGGGC